TACCTCGAAGAAGAGAGAACAATGGCAGGGACGTTAGTATCTCGGGCCTTCCTTCTTCTTACCGCCTCTAACTACAAGTCCTATCCTTTCCCCTTTGTTCTCAGTAAGCGTCTCATAGCCATAGCTGCAGCCAACCACTCCAACAAAACCATCTCTTTTGCTTCTTCTTCTTCTTCACTCACAGAAAACCACCACAGGAGGTTGCTTCTCCCATTATCGCTATCTCCTTTTCGTACCTTCAATAGTGTTAGGTTCTTCAGCTCCTCCGAACCCAGCACCAAAGTCAATACCAAGGTTAACTTCTCTCTCCCTTCAGACGACGAAGACGATGACGAAACGACGACGAAAACCGCCACCAAAGAGATCGACAAGTCGAAGCTCCCTCCCCCGTACGACCCTTTCAACAAGAAGCCCGCCATCGAGGACCCAGAAGACCCAAAAGACCTGCAAGAAGTCTTCCACAAGATGCGCACCGATGGCCTCACCAACAATGCAGTCATGATGTTCGCCGCATTGTCCAAAGACGGCTTAACCCACGAGGCCCTGGAGCTCTTTGCTCAAATCAAGGACAAGGGTCATATGCCCGACGTCGTTTCACACACTGCCGTCATAGAGGCCTACGCCAATGCCGGCAAGACCAAGGAGGCTCTCAAGGTGTACCTGCGCATGTTAGCCTCTGGGGTCGCCCCGAACGCCTACACTTACACTGTTCTCATCAAGACGCTGGCTGCCGACCCCAGCGGTAAGTTCCTTGGGGATGCCAAGAAGTACTTGCTGGAGATGATGGGCAAGGGAATGCGGCCCAATGCCGGCACCTACACAGCGGTGTTCGAGGGGTTTGCGAGGCAGGAGGAGAAGGCAGAGGAGGGGAGGGAGTTGCTGGTGGAAATGAAAGGTAAGGGATTTGTGCCGGACGAGAAAGCTGTGAGGGAGGTTCTTAAGAGCAAGAGAGGACCTGTGATTAGAAGCGTAACCAACATTCTCTTTGGCAAGTAGATAGATTTTGCTCATTGTTCTATGTTTTCGTTTTTGTTATGAAGTTTGGAACTTGAAATGAAATGCCAATTCAACCAATTCAAAGTAAAATCTCTGATGACTGGGGAGAAACAGAGGAAATATTGCTCTTCAAAACAATTCAAACTTTAGGACATGAGACATAACTTTCTCTTCAAGAAATGTTTAACACCTACGTAAATTTAAAAACACACCTACATTCACTGATTATAATGTCAAACAAAATACACATGTGAGAAGGAGAGAGCAGTTCAAAATTAAGTCCTATAGCTCTTTTAGAAGTATCGTTCAATTTGATTCTTGTAAACACGCTGGAGTAGCAGCATCTCCCAATCTCATTGACCACGGACACCCCACAAACACAAAATAGTGGCGGCAGCAGCAGCGTCTAACCCACCATGGTGCTGGAAAACTGATGTTTAAGGATGCATGTAACCCACCAATGGTTCTGCAAAACTGATGTTTATGGATGCACATCTAATATCCTTGCTTGGTAGGGCATTCTGATGCCCTGTGGCCAGACCTCCCACAATTGAAACAGGAACCTCCAAAGCTTCTGGAACTGCAAATGCAGATTTAATTTCAGTTTTGTGCAAATTTGAATATCAATCAAGGAGCAACCACAAACATATGGGACCATAAGTTTAGAAAACCTTATTGATTTCAATATCAAACAGTAAGGTATTCGGGTAAATTAGAAGCTCATTATGCCAGGAATGCAATCTCTTTCCATCTCAGTTAGTTGAGCCCTGACTAACACATAACTCCGGTTTAGACCCAAGTCTCATTTCAGAGAAGGCAATTGATTATTAGCATGAGAGTAGGGAGGGAAAATTTTGAAAGAGGAGAGATGTTAAAAACAAAAAAAAATAATTCCCAAACTCGTCAACAATGTCCCCACTAAGAACAATCGTTGCTGGCTCATAAGTTCATAACAAGTTCAGACTGCGTATATATTTTACCAAGTGAGCACATTCTTCTACTTAAGACTAAAAGATCACTACACTATTAGATGTTTTTAATTTGCTAGCATAACGGTTATTCTTCTTTCAATGTTAACTCAAGAAAGAATGAGAAACTTGAAATGTGTTGATAATCTACCTGTCTCGGGATGATGACCTGCTTGATGGTCTACCTCCAATAAGCCAATCATCATCTGTGCTTCTTGAAGTCCGAGATTGGCTGTTGCTATTTCCATAACTTCGACCACCACCTCTACCACCACCTCTACCACCACTCCTAAATGAATCATCGGCACCATCACTAGAACCCCAACCCCTGGAACTTCTAAAACCTGATGATCCTTGACGATCCCTAGAACCTCCCCGTCGACTATTCCGATCTCTGCCTGAAAATCTGCCATAGTAGTCATTCACTGGCCCATCATCTTGCAGAGCTGGCAACTGACAACACAGAATAATACATGCACATAAACATCTCTGTTAGTAGTTTTTTCACGCAAAACTGCTATTATGAGAAAGTGACCAAAAGCAAAAGTAGACCTTGGTTATCTTGGAAATAGTGTTTCCAGGAGGTATTTGTCTGTTTAGTAACTCTTTTGCAATCTCTTCTGGAAGATCAAAAACTGCTCCTTGAACCTGATATTATCACCATCAAAATTTGTTTCAAGTGAAATGAATTAAAGCACTGGATCAAAATAAGCATGGGATGTTGTAAATACAAACCCTTTCGTCTGCAATTATATGTATTTTTCCAACTTCATCAGCAGCTGCAGAATAAACATCTGAAAGAAACCCAGTGACAGATCTAGCGGACAGGAACCCTCTGGCAAAAGCTGGATCTCTAATAATTTGCAATGTCGTCCATCCCTGCATATAATTTTCCAGTTCAAATAATATAACAAAATACCAGAGGAAGGCTCCAAAACACACACGCACACCCTAAACCCTAAATCTCACTCCACCAAGAAAATAAACAACCTAAACAGAAAATTAAGCGTAAATTGACTTCAATAATTACCTGCTCGTGAGTGATAAGGGACCGGGATGATGGAGGTCGAGAAAATCCACTCAACTGTGCTAGTGCAGCAGCAAGGGCATTTGTTCCCTGTTCATCAATCAATTTCTGTGCAGTTGGTGTGAAAAATTGTACAGATTCAGGATGAACTCCACTGAGAGTAGCAACCACGTGCTGAGCAGAAGACTCCAAAACTTCTTCAATAGTTGGTGGACTAACAAACTCAAACTTGCACCCCACATCACGCTCAAGAGTTCTAACTGTTCTCCTCTGGTTGTTAGTAAACATCAGAACGGCAGTACCTTGTTTCCCTGCACGTCCAGTACGCCCAGAACGATGCACAAATGTCTCTGAATCATTGGGAAGTTCATAGTGGATCACCTGGAAAAATAAAAGGAAAAAAATTTATTGAGGCCACAGGCTTATCAAGGTGTTGGCAACTGAACTCTGGTAAAGACTTACAGAGTGGTAATAGTTTCATATAAATGTGTACTAGGACCAAAAGAAGTATAATTAAAATTTGATTAGGAATCATAGGTAATTCCTGGAGCTTACCAAATCAACATTGGGAATATCAAGTCCACGGGATGCAACATCAGTGGCAACAAGCACAGTGAATTTCCCTTGCCGAAAACCATTTAATGTTCTCTCTCTTTGATGCTGCGATATATCTCCATGCAATGCCTCAGAAGCTATGCTAGTTGTTAATGACATTGAGACTTCATCAGCATCTCGTTTTGTTTGTGTAAAAACAATGGTCTTCCCACCCTTTGCATAAACCTGAAGATATGACATTCTTCAGTACTATGCGATAAATGTTCCCTTTTTGAAATAATGTACAACTATGCAGATCCATCTTATGACAGTTATGAGATATCATGGCAATAGTTAAGTTCTATCAGAAAGCCATGCATATGAAACATCTGTCATTTCAAATAGATATAATCAACATCACCATCTGCAGTTATGAGAAAATTAGATACCATGAGGCAAGAAAGTTCTTTTTCTTTTTTTTTCATATGACGTCAGTTCTGAGATATCATGACAATGATTAAGTTCTATCAGAAAGGCATGCATATGAAACATCTCTCCTTTTCAAATAGTGGACTTGGCTGGCTGAGATTTTTAACACATCAGAAGTTACAATATTTCACTATCTTGTTCAAATTTAGCCAAAACAAGAGAAAAATAAAGAGTTCCAACTCTTACCGTTATAAGGTCACTAAGAATGGTCCGCTTTGAAGATCCAGTGGTTGATAAAGCATAAAGTTTGATCCCTTCTGCAAGCTTCTCCTCTTGGTCACCAACCTTTGGAAAATAAGAAAGTAGAAAAGGAAAAGTTTTAAGATTTATTTTCCACTTGACAATATAAACATAAGAAATGCAGAATTAGGACTTTGACATTACTTTAAAGTTTAAACAACTACAACTTCCGTTGGCTTTAAAATCCAGTAAACATAAGCCATATTCTAATTGCACAAGATTATAAACAAAGAAAAGAAAGAAACCTAAAGAATTAACATTTACCAAATCAATCGTCAATGGGTTGTCCAAGTATTTCCGTGCTAGTTTTTTCACCCAAGCAGGCATAGTTGCAGAAAACAGCATGCTTTGCCTCTGAGTTGGAAGCTTTTGTAAAATTACTTCCACATCCTCCTCAAATCCAACAGCAAGCATTGAATCAGCTTCATCGAGTACCAAATATTGAACTTCGCCCAGTTTGAGGCTGTTACCATTTATCAGGTCAATAATTCGACCAGGAGTTCCAACCACCACATCAACTCCACGTGAGAGAGCACTTTGTTGTGTTATGTACGAAACCCCCCCATACACACAAACAGTGTTTAGATAAGGTGCAGATTCTTTAATCTCCTTTTCCACTTGTTTCGCTAACTCCCGAGTAGGTGCAAGGACCAGAACTCTAGGAAGATAACCAGTCCGCCTATAAAAGGAGAAAATAGAGAAATTCATCAAAAGATTTTCAAAAAAGAATAGTCTTTAGTTCTAATGTGTGAAAAATAAACGGTACCTATGAGAACTTCTCTGTTCATCATCCTCTGTGAGGCGCTTCAGTATTGGAATTCCGAAGGCTAGTGTCTTTCCAGTCCCAGTCTTTGCACGAGCAATGATATCTCGACCTTCCAATGCAGGTACTAGCACAGCCCTCTAAAAATTTTAAAGAAAAAAGTAAGTAAAATCATTATACGCATACCTAGATAAACATATTTGGATACATAAATATAAAAATGTTAAATTTGACAAGAAAAGGTCACTGTGTGATGAGATTAAAATATTTACGCGCCAATTAGACAAACAACGCAACATGGGTATGAACAAAGAAAATGCAGGTAGATAATGGATAATGTTATGAAGGCCACCAAAATGGCTACAAAATGGTTTAATCTGCAGAAAGCTTACATACTGCCATACAAACACGCAATCTAAAGGATGATGCTCAAAAGGGTTGTGACAAAAACTAAATTAGAGTAAGTTCATCATTACAGAAAAAAAAACATAAATTTTAAAATAATAAGATAAGAAAAGCAAAACCAGAGAGAGGAACAAAGTACCTGAATAGGGAAAAGGCTTGAAATGCCACGTTTCTCAAGGCTGTCGACGAGGCGCTGGGGCAAACCCAACTTGGAAAGAGCGAGCTCATCATCATCACTGGCAGAAGAAGCTGGCTCAGTTTCGGAGTCATATTCCGAGTCCGAGTCCAGAGAGTCTTTAGAGAAGCCACCGAGCCCTTTGAACGCCTCTTCACTGAGCACCGAATTGGGCGTTGCAATAGCTGAAGCAACAAGACTAGACTGCCTGACCAGGCCACTCTTGGCTCTCAAAACACTGTTAAAGTGAGGCCTCTCTGGAAACGCAAGAGAAAGAGAAGGGCTGCTAGTTGTAGCTGTTGTTGTTGTCGTTGAAGCTGCTGCTCTTCTGTAAAGCTCACTACATGGAGTCTGGGGATAGATAGAAGAAACGCCTATAATAGAAGTCATTTCTGCAACTATAGCAGAAGCGGCTTTGCTCCGTTCGCTCTAACTCGCCCTTCTTTCTTCTCTTATCTCTTTGACCCCAACGTGCTC